GAAGTATTTCAAATTATCCTCACACTTTCATTGAATTTCTTTGAAAATGATTAATTCATTCTATATACACGCGAAAATTAATCATTTTCTAAGAAATTCAATGAAAGTGTGAGGAGAATTTGAAATACATCTTTTTGGTTGCCTGTTCATCAACTTCAAAAATTCCATATCACAGTTCACTGAAACCTTATACAGGGTGAAATTTTTGATATGAACCAAATTGGCAGAATTTCTCAAGACCGGTCCTAGATTTTTACGATTCTGAATACGTCAGTTGATTGCTGAGTGACAGCATAATGATCCATGAAAAAATAAAAGGAATCGAAAGAACTGTTGGAAAATTATGATTGAAACAAGTTTTGGCCATATCCCATAAATCACCCTATAGATTATTTTAGGAGAGGCGGAGACACTTCCTGATGGTCATTTGGTATTCCCTTCAGGTGCCTCTGTTCGTAGTAGGAGCATGTACAGTTCGTCATGACTCACCCTGTATTTAATGTCTTTTACGCATGTTTTGATGAGATCTAGATAAGTATCGTCCACTGTTGTCCTGATTCACTATTAGGGAACAAAGCCTTTATTGTTCTTCTTTCAATCGAATTCTCATCTCTTAATTACCGTTTCCGAGATTTCATTGCTCAGACTTGAATTTGAATGGGCCTATTAAATCAAAAACTTGCGTTCATATGCTCATGAGTATAATTATAATTTGTATAATTATCCGAGCCATGGTAATAAAGAGTTGAGAGTTACACTAATTGCGTAATCAAAAGCTGTTACAACCTCTCTCAGGTCGTTTATCCCGCACATTAGAAATTCCACTTCATTTCTAAGCTTTCCATAAGCATTGTTCTTAACAATCTTAACTGATATATTTTTGTCATTACTGCAGGGTCAACGACTGGAAATAACGAAGTGGACATTTTGGTGGAAGTGTAATGAATAAGAGTTAGAAGAAATAATTATCTTTCATTTTCAATATAATTAGGCCACTTCTAACAGTCAAAATGATTTCTGGTGGGATATGTGCCTTCGCCAAAAATGCTAGAGCATCCTCCAAAAATTCAATAAACATGTGTTATACCGTTGATTGATATATTACCCAGCGTAATATACGTAAAAGTAATGTGAATGACTTCGAAAAGGACTATCGGGGAATGAATAACGTGAATACATGCTTATTATTTCCTGAAATACAATATTTTTGCGTCAATACTGAGATTTTTCCAATATAGAATAAAGTGGGCCTTTAAAAACAAATCTAAGTAACAGCCTTTTACGTACACCAGCATACCAGATTATAGATTGAAATAAATAACGTGTATAGTGATTCCCACTGAGAATGAATAGAGTGCCATACTATACTCACATTCTACGATCGAGTGGTATACTCTAAGTGGTTCAGTGCTATACATCTACATCTGAGACTTGTGGATCTGTTTCTCCGAAAAAGGAGTGAAGTGATGATCCATGTAATCTCTAGTAATCTCTGTAATCTGTATTGACGTCCAACATCTCCCAAGATTTAGGGTTTCAAGAAAAAAACTCAAACAACAATTATTCGTCATCTCCTCGTCGAAATTGAAAACCTCTCGAAAAACGTAACATAATGATGATTTTCTCTTCTTACAAAAATGATATTTTGGCATTTATGCAGTTAGTTATAACTTGATCTAAACCTTGGACTATGAAGGGTAATAATTTATTTAATGAATTGGTAAAAGGGAATATTTGTTCAAATACAATCCGTTCTTCAAATCTATCAACTATTTTTTTATTTTCATCGCTGAAACTTGTTTTTTTTTGTTAAATAAACGGGTTACCCGAAGGGACGTATTCTGGCGTCTACAGCTACAATGATTTCATGTCAAGCTGATGAACTTTGGTTTAACATCAATGAGAACATCAACGCTAATAGACTAGTCAGTATTAAAAGACACCTAGTATTTCGTAATAATATAAGTTGTCTTGTTTGGAATTTGGATTGTGAATGTTCAGAACCACTCGCTGGTTTCGATGGGTAACTTTATTAAAATAATAATAATAATAATAATAATAATAATAATAATAATAATCGCTTTTATTGACAGATAATGGTTAACAAAAAAGGTAACATATGACATCATCTATCAAAAGGCAGAGTTAGCTCTGGTTCGGACTCGGTGTTAAGTCGAACAAGTGCTTTATTTCACTCAACCTATGGAGTTAGTATTAAATTACGCTGAATAATCTAAAACTATGTTAACAACTGATACAATACATTATGTATTAATAAAACTACACAGAATAATGAATACATATTGAATGAGGCATGTGAAGTAAAGAAATAAAAAAACAAAATTGAACAGGAAGTAAAAGGCATCATAGAGATATTTCTCCTGACAGTAGGCTCTTTTTGAGTCTACTTTAGAAACATGCAGTGGATATAGTTTTGAACCGTTCCGGAATCCTATTATGAAGCCTGGTAACAGTGAAGGAGAATGACGATTGAAACTGGACTGTGCATGGAGTGCTGTGGTGGCGTAAGTCGTGATTTGTGTTAAATATTGATGTTGTGCACGTCCGTACGAAATGTGATCTTGTCGTATGAATAGGGTGGTTTTTGCGAAGTTATTATATTATAAAATGAAGTGCAAAGGTGAAGTATTCTTCTTTTTTAGGTATTGAGCCATCCGAGTTCTTGGAGAGGGGATGTTTTGGTTTTTGATTCGATTTGCTCTGTTTGAATGAATTGATTAATTGAATGGTATTTTTATGGAAACTGGGTTTATTGAAAACAAATTATTTCTCTTTCAACAACATTCTTCCATGACAACTAACTTCATATATCAGAATAATACATAGAGTGATGAACTTCGATAATTCATGATCACTGCTTGGCTCGTGACGAACAGCTTTTCTTTCACTTAGGACTTTAATTAAACAGGTACTTGAATATCCGGCTCGAAGGACCATTATGTTTTGGTTTTTGATTCGATTTGCTCTGTTTCAATGAATTGATTAATTGAATGGTATTTTTATGGAAACTTGGTTTATTGAAAACAAATTATTTCTCTTTCAACAACATTCTTCCATGACAACTAACTTCATATAATATATCAGAATAATACATAGAGTGATGAACTTCGATAATCCATGATAATAAGTTCTGTACAGGGGAAGAGATGTGATTTCGTCTGCTTATTCCGCAAATTAAACGTACACAAGAGTTCTGAATCAATTGTATTCGCTGGGCATCTCTTTTGGTGATGGCGGGTCCGTAAATAGTGTCAGCGTAATTCAAGTGTGAGAGAACTAGTGACTCACAGAGAGTTTTTTTCCGTTTTTATCTAACATTTTTCTGTTGGAATATATCAATTTGAGGTTACAGAAAGCTCTTCGAACGAGTAGATTGACATGGTCACTGAAATTGAGCGAGGAATCAAGAATAACTCCCAGATTTTTCGAGCTATCAGAGGAAGGAATAGTTACTTCCCCGATTTTTATCGTCATTAAGTTCTTGCAACGACTGCGAGCGACCTTTCATATTCATATTGTGTCGGAATATAATACATTGTTATATTTAAGATGGGAGGAATATGAAGGGAACGTTTTAAGCAAACTATGGGAAATGATTATCGGACATAGCCCTGTGGAAGAGTGGAAGACGTGTCTGCGGTTAACTCTTCCAGATCGAGGGCTGTGTCCAATAATATTTTCCTAGTTTTTCTCCTCCATTTTGCAAATTTCCACAGCATAATTCTTCATCCTATATCTGAGATTTCACCCAATCCATTTGAATGTAGATGAGATCAATCATCCTATCAATAAAAATTGTATCTCAATCCAAAGATTCTTGTACAGGGTCGTACAGGAGAATACCACTGAAAGTTGGGGGGTGGAAGGGGTTGACACACCGCTTCACTGAAAAATGGTGTGAAAATTCGCATTAGAAGTTTTCAAAGTGACACTCTTATATACAGTTTGATTCAAAATACAATGGAATGCAAGGACGTATTGTTGGAATCATAATAGGACTTTTCGTTCAGAAGGAATAGGTTACCTAAAACGAACCTCCTCCGAGCTACAACCACTCTGTAGACCACCCTCCAAGCCTCCGAAACTATGGATTCACATAATTCTTGAAGCAAAAACGGATATTGCCGGTTTTCAGAAGATTCGTAATTATAGACAAATATTTGAAAATTTTTTCACCTAAGTAACTTATTTATAGTGGCATTTCAGGACACCATGTGTATTATAAAAAAAAATCATTTTGATCCCAACAATACGTTAGTTTAGTTCATTGTACCAGTATATCACCTGACGAAGCTACTGTGTTAGCGAAACATGTCGTTTGTTTGAGAATTTTGTGGAAATCTTATCGTTTGTGAAGTGTTCACATTTGTCATGTATTTCTATCAAGTAACGACCGAGTCAATAAAAAAAAAACTGTTCATATAGTTTTGAAATGTTTTTGACTGTTCTTGTGATTATTGCATGTTTGTGAATTTGTGGAAATATGAATGAAATAAATCAATATCTATCGTTCAATCTAAATGTTTCTCAATGATTAGTGGATTTAGCATAAGTTTGTATGAAAATATTGAATCAGAATTCGAAAAACTATTTTTTCTACGGCTATAACACAAAATTGCGCTTGTTTTGAAATAAATCAATGGGGTACCTTGTATTTCTTCAATTTCATTTTCGAATCTGATCTGATCACAATGACTTCATTGTGTTATTAGTTCACTAAATCTCATCTTCCATGAAATGTCAAATTTCAGGCAATGACAGCTGTGTCTTATAGATGAGCATCATGTTTGAGAGAAAATCAGATGGCTATACAAGCCGAAGAAATCAAAAATTTTGCTGTAATCTGTTACAGTTGTAGGAAAATTATAGTGTATAACTCGCACGGAATGCGATTATCATCCCGTGCTCGTTGAAGAATATGCTATACTGATTCAATTTCTTTAATCTGTTGGAATATTTGAAAGAATAATTCGTTCCAGGTATGACGAACCCGGTAGACATGAAGGCAAAGTTTGCAGATACAACCGCAACACTGGTTATGTGATCTTCTCAGCTTTGGGCTCGTTCTTCATTCCGATGGTCGTCATGTTGTACGTGTATGTGAGAATTTCTTGTGTGGTTGCACAAAGACATGACAATTTGGGGCACATCGATACAGCACATCCTCGTGTAAGTAGCAAAGGATAATTAGATTTGTATGTATTATGTATATATTCTAGGAAATGAACTCATAATATTGATGTATAGTTAGACGCGCCAAAGAAGTATTGGGACGGAGAGGATGAAAGCGGCCATTACTCTGAGCATAGAGTATCTAAACGGTTTGTCGCCTTCATAAAATCACAAACGATATAACTGACTGCACTTTTGAACCAATACCACCATTTCTAGCGAGCGCTTTTGGGATTCCGTTTTTGAATTGACAGTGGGTTGAGGATAGCAACATTAGCAAAGATAACTGAATGACTCTTCTGTAATCTATGACATTAGTCGCGTTTTTTTGTGATTCTCTGGTGCATGAATTATGTAGAAAGGAATATAATAATAATAATAATAATAATAATTAACGCCTTCATTCATAGGAATGAAAAGGCGAGGTGTCACTTTACAGTGTTTTTCAACTTTGACTTAAAAATAAGTGAATATAAAAAAAAGATAATATAGGTACAATATATTATGAGAAAGTGAGTTGAAAACAAAATAAGAAAAGTAGTAGAGTACAACTTGAAACTAGTCAAATCAAATAGCACTATAATGCGTACAGTATAATATATATGAGCATTAAAACAATTTCTTTTAAATTATTGCCATCACATATCAACATATCGTCTCATAGCTAAATCATAGATGATATTCATCAACAACAATGTGTATACAGGGTGGTCCACGGTGGATGGCCTATTAGAAGTATCTGGAGAACGAAAACACAAAACATTCTGAAAGCTGGAATGCTATGATGATTGAACATTCTTTATCCGTCTAAAATATTTTCATCGATACAGTGTTGCCACTTCTATCAGAAACAACTAGCAACTTTGTTATTTCTAATGGAACACCCTGTATTTTAATTCATTTTTAAATTGTTCCTGAAGAGCTGATTTCATCAATGCATCACACTTGGGGTCTAGCAGGAATGATTACAGAGATATGGACTGTTCAAAATCGAGATTTTTCAATTTTAGAATTTTTTCGCATCGAAAATATTCATTATCGATCAAAACGGCTTACATGTCCCTATCTTTACTTTTGATTCACTATCCACTGACATTTTATTGAAACATATACAGGGTGATCAGAATTCTGAATCTTGAAGCAGCCTGTATATTTTCCAATTAGATTCCAGTAGATAGTGAATCGAAAGTTAAGATAGGGACATGTAAGCCGTTTTGATCGATAATGAATAGTTTCCACACAAAAAAATCCTAAAATTAAAAAATCTCGATTTTGAACACCCTATATCTCTGTAATCATTCCTGCTAGACCCCATCAAGTATGATACATTGATGAAATCAGCTCCTCAGGAGGAATTTAAGAATGTAATAAAATACAGGGTGTTTTATTTGAAATAACAAAGTTGCTAGCAGTTGTTTCTGATAGAAGTGGCAACACTGTATTGATTAAAATATTCTAGACGGATAAAGAATGTCCAATTATCAAAACATCTCAATTTTCAGAATGTTCTGTCTTTTCGTTCTCCAGGTACTTCTAATAGGCCATCCACCGTGAATCACCCTGTATACACTTCTCATAATATACACATGCCTACCTATACATACACATATATACACACAGCTATACATAAACAATCCAATGAGAGAGAGAACCCTGACTCAATTACCCATAAACAAATGCTGTGGGCGTCACTGAAGAAACACGGCTTCAAGAAGAGAAATTTTGAGTTTTTTTTAAGTGTAAAATGGAACAATCTTTGAAATCTGTAGGTAATGAATTATAAGATTTTGTGGCATTTTAGGAAAAGCGGCGCTTGAAAATAGCAGAGGAGTGTTGTGGGACAACTAGGACACGTCTATTTCTTGTAGGGATGTTATTAATATTTTCAAATCGAGTCAATTTTTTCCTCAGATATGACGGACGATTAGTTTTCAGAATTTTGTGTACGAAGGTTAGGAGATGAAGGGTTCGTAGAGATGCCAAGTTCAATTTATTGGTGGTTCTAAATGCAGGAGAGATGTGGTCGAACTTCCGTATACCAAGCGCAAATCTTAAACAGGAGTTCTGGATACGTTGTAATCTGGTGTGATCTCGATTAATTATGGCAGGGTCATAAATGCAGTCACAATATGCTAATTTCGACGTTATTAAGCTTCCACATAAAAGGAGTTTCAGGTCGCGATTCAGAATGCTTCTATGAGGAATAAGACGGCAAACAATGAAGAATGACATTGATGTGATGACAACCGCGTGACACTCACATACAATCAAAATGACATAATGATCATCAATAAAAAATATCAGAGTTCAGATTACATTAGGGTCCCTTGATGCAAACTGACGTATTTGCCATTTTTAACAGGGTACGGACAGATCCTCGTCTCCTCTCACTCTAAAGTGTTTGTGGAACAGTTATATAGTTCCATCTTTATTCATTTCTGGGGATGAACACTAGATTCCTGACATTTGTTGTATTTTATTGTATTTATGTATTTATTATATTGAGGACATTGGCGCATCATACGTAATTTCCACATGTTATTTCTCATTCAACTCTACATATTATATTCAAATGATGATGATAATTTTCGAGTTTTTGATTTTTCAACTCCAGCATAATCTTTGTGAGGCACTGAGCAAATTTTTCTGAAAGTTTGATACATTTTACCAAATGGGACTGTTCTTAGGCAATAAATTGATTTTGATTTCAGACTAAGCCTTATGGTTGAGAAATGGTGAAAAATGTTATGAAGGTATTCAAACTAATGTGCTCATATGTCATGTATGCTGTATACAGTGTGTCCCACTTACCATGCTCACCATGGGTATCTTTTCAACGGTGAGAGATACGAGGTCGGTTAAATGACACCAAATGTGGAGTTTGTCAAGGCCAACTATAATGTGAAAAAATATTTTGATAAAATCTATTCGTTTTTGTTTTATACGCAAAAAACAGATTTTGATCATTTTCATGTCTCCTCCGTAACTTCTTTATTTATGAAAATATTCAAATAGGAATTTCACATTCTCATGGCAGTTTTTCAAAGTGATTTCGAAAAAAATATGGAATTTATACCAACTCTTCTAGAATTTGAGATATCAGCACCAACTTCAGTTTTCCAAATGTAGGTCATAGTTCACTATGACTTAGTTACAAATAACTTTTTTTCCTCTTACAGATGTCGCAGTAATAGTTTTGTGTTGATAACAACGGAGTTATCGTCATTTATACAAAAATAAAAAATTATTTGGAAGCCGCCATCTTGAATTTAAGAATTTTAACCAAAAAAACCATGATCTCCGACCTCAAAAACCCCCACTTACCAATTTTCAATGGAATCGGACCAAATCATGTCCGCCATCTTGGAGCAGCCATTTCTTTTAATTTCAACAAAAATTCCATTTAACTCCGATTAACTTGAAATCTGGCAGGTGTTCATAATTTCGGTGACAATACATTATGGAATTATGTTGAAATAAAAAAAATGGCTGCTCCAAGATGGCGGACAAGATTTGGTCCAATTCCATTGAAAATTGGTAGATGAGGGTTTTTGAGGTCGAAGATCATGGTTTTTTTGGTTAAAATTCATAAATTCAAGATGGCGGCTTCCAAATAATTTTTTGTTTTTGTATAAATGACGATAACTCCGTTGTTATCAACACAAAACTGTAACTGCGACATATCTGTAAGAGTCATAGTGAGCTATGACCTATATTTGAAAAACTAAAGTTGATGCTGATATCTCAAATACTGGAAGAGTTGGTATAAATTCCATATTTTTTTCGAAATCACTTCGAAAAACTGCCATGAAAATGCGAATTTCCTATTTGAATATTTTCATAAATAAAGAAGTTACGGAGGAGACATGAAAATGATCAAAATCTGTTTTTTGCGTATAAAACAAAAACAAATAGATTTTATCAAAATATTTTTTCACATTATAGTTGGCCTTGAGAAACTCCACATTTGGTGTCATTTAACTGACCTCGTATCTCTCACCGTTAAAAAGATACCCATGGTGAGCATGGTAAGTGGGACACACTGTATATTCATGTTGGGAATCATTTTTGCAGTTTTTGACGAACACTGAATATTTCCTGAATGTAGGTATAATTTTTTTAATGGTAGGGCACAGAGATTAGTCAACTACAGACTAATCTCTGGTAGGGCATATGCCTCTTCTTTTATAATAATCCTCCGTTTTAATTATAACTGTTTCTACTAAAATGCATTCGAAATCTTGTGAGGTGGATAATTATAGGCACAATAAGAAATTATAATATGTGTTTTCGTATCAGTTTCACCTCGGATATTTTGCTGATGTATTCACCAATTTTCCCCATTCGGTCACTTCACCTTCCATGTTCGAAGCTGACAAATTCCAATTTGCCATCCAACTGATTGATACAGCCTAACTCAGCACATTTTACCATCCTTCCAAAACAGATAAAGTATGAAATTAAAATTTTGTAAGATCTCTTTTAACGCCTATATGAATGTGACGTGACAGCAATGTCATGTCAGGGACACCAATACACGAAACCAAAGTTAATAGATGAGTATAAGAGAAAGAAGCTATGATCTATCCGTACCCTGTTAGATGACAAATACGTCGTCAGTTTGCATCAAGGGACCCTAGTTTACATCAATTTTTGGATCTTTGGATTGAATCAATTGGATTGATGATACATATTGAATAATAATTTTACGTGGGCTACGTACGCTACGCGTCGGGCATCAAACTTCTCACGCAGGAAGAAATGAATACCTTTGCATCCTTGATATATAAATAGCTATATATTGTTGTATTTTCCGTTTCCTTTGTGATTCTGGTAGGCTAAAGTTCATTTTCTGACCTTGGGAGACAATGTACTATGTTTTACTTTGTTCTATAAATCAGTGAGATACTTTGTATGTCATTAATTCATCAAATTTCAAGCAATGTCTAAAAAAGATTTGAGCATTACATGAGAGAAAATCAGATCGCTGTTAACTGTTCCAGCCGTAGATAAAGTATTGTGTGTAACTCGCACACGGAGAAAAAAAATCACTAACCCTAAGTGAATATTTAATAGTGGCAAGTAAAAACTTGTATACTATATGGGACAAGGAAACAAGTTAATAACCACAAGAATATTTGTGTTCCTGAAAATGTACACCTACCACTATTGACCTGTTTCATTAAATTTCAGAGTGATAACGGTTAGTGAACACATCACTTGTCATCAGTGACCTATTCAATTGTAATTAGTAACTCATTCACTTTTCATTAGTGACTTGTTCACTAGTCATTAGTGACTTGTTCACTAGTCATTAGTGACTTGTTCATTAGTCATTAGTGACTTGTTCACTAGTGATTAGTGACTTGTTCACTAGTCATAAGTGACTTGTTCACTAGTCATTAGTGGCCTAATACCATGTCATCAGTGACTTATCTACTAGTCATCAGTGACTTATTTACTTGCCAATAGTGACTTATTCACTTGTTATTACCTAGTATGAAAAAATACCTCCATTGTTCTCTGAAAAATGATAAAACCTTGGTAATAAGACCAAAACACATGCACTCAAAACATTTTATTATAAAGGTATGATGAATCCAGAAAATACAAAAAAGGTAAGGCTGACGACAAATATTGAGATACTAGATACCGCTTATATCAGCATTATGCACCAAGAAAAACGGTACTCTCACTCACTGCACTGCACTCTGGTTCACTATCTTTTTCCTTCCAGCATTGAAGATGAATCAACTTTCATACTTTTTAAACGTCACTTCCTTCCACTTCGAGTATCATAGGGAGTGGAAAAAAATCCTGTACATGTAGAAACAATTATGTACTGTTCTAGAAGAGTTTTGTATTTCATTATCTCCTTCAAGAGAACAGATCAAGAACTCAACACCCCACAGCTCAGAGCACGGCCACAGAGCACGACACACAAACAGATAATTCTCATACGAATATGATATAGTATAGTTGTTCGAAAGGGCACTTGCATGACTTGGAATTTCAATGTTACTAGCGGAAACGCAAGTATACTAACTTCACGAATGCTAAGATCGAAATGACGCCGTGGACTCGTGGACACTGGACAGTGATCGCGTTGGGCGTGGGTACTCGAATAATATCGGAGATGTCCGAACGAAAAAGAGATCTATAACTACAGGTGAGCTGTCACCTGCAACAATCGACTTGATAGATTGTCTTTATTGATGAGTTCGCTCAGAGCAAGTGATCTTATGTCAGAAAAATAATTTAATAATAGTGAGTATTCGTTAACCTAGCACTAGTTTAGTGTTCACTTAGAATTAGCGAACTCTAAGTACATATCGACTTGGTTGATACCAACAAGTGTTCTGATCACTTACAGCAGAAACTTCGTTCCAGAAATATAGTTTTGCCTACTGCAAGTACCATATTTTCCTACCGTTGGTGAAAATGTTCTTGTCACAATCGACTTTTTTTCAAGAAAACAATTTACTTGGCCGAGTTTTCTCAGTGCACGGAATGCTAATTTTCCACTCGTATAAAACTGCATTCTCGTGGAAAATAAATATCATTTCCTACTCATTGAGCAATATCCTTATAGCAGCCCAAGGGACGATTTTCATGCATATTATATGGTAGGGTAGGCGAAAAACTATGCTTCATCGAACCCAATGAGAATATCACTATCGACCGTTGAAACTTATGCTTTCTCCAAACTTCAACACCCAAAATTATGAATTTGTCGACGTTGACAAATGATATAGTGAGCTGAAATAACAACGTGAATAGAACACAATGGAGTTCGAGTATTAATACAATTCACGCCAGACATAAAATATTGATGTTTTTGTAAATTAAAAATAATTACTTTTCCTGCATGTAATCAGATAATTTTGCTTCACAATGGCGTTCGCAAGAATTATGGAGCTCCGATGCATGGCATATGGTCCTAAAAAGTATATTCCATCATATACCGGGTGTCCAGGTACCTATTGTGGAAAAGCTTTATCCCAGTAAACATGCGAAAACCTAAATTGAACATGAATGTTATAACACATTGCTACTTTGTGGTGTTATTCAGAGATATGCTTATTAATATCACAAAACACAAGCATGCCTTTTTTCTAGAAAAACCGATCTCACTGTGCCCAACATAAGCTTTTCAGGATTAACCATACCTTTGAAGACATCCATTTCAATGCTTGGCATTACTATCAGCAATAACCTTTCTTGGGAAAATCACGTGAGATCAATTGCTAAAAGTTCCTCCCAAACACTTGGTTTTCTGTTTCGGGCCAGGAGCTATTTCACTTCCAGTCAGCTGCTCATGCTCTATAAGGCACAGATCCGACCTGTCCTGGAACACTGGTTTCATAAGTGGGGTACAGAACCCAAACATACCCTGAAACTGTTGGATTCTGTCCAAAAAAAGGGCAATTCGTCTCGTAGGTGCGATGCCTCGCTCATAAACTCACTCACTTCTCTGGAACACCGTAGAAAAGTGGGGGAATCTGGCTCTATTTTATGAATAATTTCATGGACGATGCCCTTCTGAAATATCAACAATTGTTCCTCCCTTGGCAGTCCCCGCGAGATTACCCTGTCGAGTTGAGGCTTCGCACCCCTTCGTGGTCACTTTGGAGACCTGCAGAACATCTCTTTCCAAAGACTCGTTCATCCAACGAACAGCGAGGCTCTGGAACACATTGCCAAGGGAGGTGTTTCCCGAGGCATCTAATCTCCAGAAATTCAAGAAGAACACCAATTCCTATCTTATTTCCCTTCGTTCTCACGATGTTTTCTGAACATTACAGGATATCCCTTTTCGTGAGAACCACAACATAAAAAAAAGATAGGTACGTAGCAGAAAGCGACATGATATGTGCCTCGATTGAATGTAACGTTCAACGGTGAATATTATATAAATACAAGGTGAGTCATGACTACCCAGCCATAAGCCCAATGGCAGATAGAGGAAGTCGAGGTGAGTTGATATACTGTGTGACCCAATTCTAATGGAAACACCCCTGTATCTTACGAAATCGTTATGTAAGGATCCTGAAATTTGCTGGAAGCAAGAGATACCAAAAATGCACTAAGTGAGGCCATCTTCAGTTATATACACTGATCGCCAACAGCCAACCACCCCAGTTTCCGTAAAATGATATTAGGAGTCAAAATAGGTCGAAAATTACTTCAGATTCGGAATCAGGACTCCCAATTCCCTAGAAAATTCTCAGTTTTGGAAAATAAAATTTTGTCGCACTTTTTACGAAAGCACCCCCTTATCTTACGTAATTGACTTTATCATATATCAATCAACGCTTTATCTTTGGACTTCTCCTTCCTCCTGCAAATATCAGAACCCTACCTCAATAATTACGTGAGATACGGGGGTGCTTCCATGAGAAGTGAGACAAAATTTAATTTTTCTGAACTGAAAATTTTCTTGGAAAAATATGGATAGTTAGTGAATTGAGCGTCCTGATTCCGAATCCGAAGTGATTTTCAACCTATTTTGACTCCTAATATATCATTATCCGGAAATTGTGGTGGTTCCATGGCTGTTGGCGAGCAGTGTTTATCATTGAAGATAACCCCACTTGGTCATAGAGTGCATTTTTGGTATATCTCTTGCTTCAGCAAATTTCAGGAACCTTACCCAACGATTACGTAAGATACAGAGGGGTGTTTCCATTAGAAGTGGGTCACACTGTATATTGGAAAAAATACATCCTGTCTATCCCTAACAGAATTACAGGGCATTATTCGAATCCGGGGTGAAACTTGGAATGTCTCGATGTTATCGCTATGGACAAAAAATCCAGAGCCGGACTTGGAAAACTTATTTTATTTTTAAATATCAAAATTTCGACTTTCTGAATCGAATTTTTCGAAAACTTCCATCAGAATCAGAAAGATCAGGTAAAACACTACAAGTGTAGCTTCTCAATTTGTACGGCACCCTTCGCACACTCATCGTAGTGGAATTTTCGTAATATATTATTATTATTGATTGAGTTTATATTGAGATAGGTAAAGGGATATTCATCTCCCCTATCCCAATAACATAATAATCACATCATGGTTATTCACTTTGAATGAAAATGAATCTCTTTTCAGAAGAAAGCGAAACTAATTCTCAACGCCAAAGAAGAATCTGATCCAGACAGAATATCTTCGGAATGCGAAGAAGCCCACTTGAAATGTTCCAGGTATTACCTTCCTGTAGATGCATGGTAAATCATATTTTTCATTTGTTTTCATTTTCACCCAATAATGTATATACCATGTGTGTATGATTTACTCGATGATTTATGACCTTAACATCCGCTCAAATTTAGAGCGTTGTGAAAATGAAAGTTATGAGACAGAAAATGTAAGATCTTCAGGACATCAGGATGTATGAATATCGCCCAATAAGAAGGTGTAGATGTAGAGGACATGCAAGAGGAGAAGAATCCACCCTGTATCAAAATCTATAGAGTTTATATAACCGGTGAAGTAGGTAGTCATTCAATGAAGGAACACATCGTATTCTCAGATACGAAGTTTCATAGTTGCAACTTCTACAGGAAGATTTCTCTAGGTCAAACAAAAATAAATGAAATTGAAGTTGAGTATTTTTTCTGTGACGGGAAAAAAGTTTGGCATTTCATCCCTGTTGGCGGGTTATAAAATGTCACTTTTCATAAATTACTTTTTTCCCGTGGGAAGAAAGTGAGTACTTTTTTCCCGGATATACAGGGTGTTTCAGTTTTTTGTAGCAGAACTTTAACAGCTTGAAGAAGACATTTTTTCAAGATGAAAATCTCATACAAACATATATGCGTGAAAGCTTCGTTTCCGATTTACAGGGTGTCAAAGTTTCAGATTTTTTTTATGTTTTTTAAATTTTCTCCCACAATTCTCGGAATAATTGATTGAAATTTGGTACACCTGATACACTTCAAAAACTCAATATTTGAGGCTATTGAGCGTTTCAGGGGTCGTACCCAATTTAACTCTGTAGAACTTTTTTGCGTGCCGTCTCTGCTTTCAATGGGACATAGATTCAGATTGTGCTTTCAATTTGGAAACTTTTTGCTCCTATGTGAATTTTTAGAAAACTGTATGGATCTCGAGATAATTGCCAAAAATAAATTACTTGTAATAAAACCGTTATTTCTCAAACGCACTTATTTGACATTTCTCAAACATTTTATTAAAAAAAAGAATGACCGAAAGTTTCCATACCGAATGAAATTCAGTTGAAAAATGAGATTGAATTTTTTGAACACCATTATAATTATAACTAGGAAAAACAAAGAAAAAATGTTTTTATTTTAAAAAAACTTCTCTAACTGGATTGTAAAATCAGAAATTGTATTTAGAAAATTCTAGGACACCCTGTATAACTGAAACTGGTTAAACTTTCGATATCAGGGACTGTATGACACACGGTCTAGGCGCTATACATCGCTAGACTGTCGCTTATAGCGGTTGAGGTGTTGTGAGTTTTGATAATTTAATCTCGTGAATGGCAGTTCTAATTTTATCAGTACCCTTAGAAGTGGTTCGGATTCCACTTTTATTTATCTCGAAATTCATACAGTTTTCGAAAAACATACATGGGGGCAAAAAGTTTCCAAATTGCAGAGACAATCTGAATCTATGTCCCATTGAGAGCAGAGACGGCACGCAAAAAAGTTCTACAGGGTTGAATTGGGTAAGACCCCTGAAAGTCTATCACCCTGTAGGTATTCAAAAACACTCAATAGCCTCAAATATTGAGTTTTTGAAGTGTATTAGGTGTACCAAATTTCAATCAATTATTCCGAAAATTGTAGGAAAAAATTCAAAAAACATTAAAAAAATCTGAAACTGTGACACCCTGTGAATCGGAAACGAAGCTCCCATGCATATATATTTGTTTGAGATTTTCATCTTGAAAAAATGTCTTCTTCAAGCTGTTAAAGTCCTGCTACAAAAAACTGAAACACCCTGTATATTACATATGTATACACTGTTGATTGCTTTTGTTGTGCTATAGTTTCGAAAAATGAGTCAATAATACCGTCTCCGAGAAAGAACTGCAAGTCCTTTTATCTTCCCTTCCATTCGACTTCGCGGTTACGAATATTACTAAACAATCACAAAATTCGCAATTTTTGAAATCAAATTACAGAATTAGACTGACAGAAGTGACATCAGATATTTGATTACTTCAAATGAATGATAAAGATGCCTACAACGCGGTGACCCTACTGTTAAAAACTTAAAATTTCACGTCGATAATTCTCAGATTTCAAAATAATGTAATATCTTCTTAATATTGATTCGTCCTTTCTTCTGTCACAGAAAAAAATAGTGTATTATACACGGGAAAAATATTAGATTCTAGCTCACGGTTTGTTGTCTCCCTCCGCTACGAGTCGGGAGACAATACAACCTCTGGAGCTAAAATCTACTACTTTTTTCCCTTGTATAATAAATAACTTTTGTTCATTATGATCCATATTTATTCCCTGAAAATATGAATAATGGTAGAACATATTCTTTAGACATAACAATTCCCATTGCCATCTCAAATTTTCATTTTATTTCGTCAAAATCGGTGTATTATTATGATCACATCAAGCATCAGTCTTTTCAGAGTGTTTGTCTGTCATTGTATGTGTGTTAAATTCGACAGCTCTTTATCAATCGAAACGATTTTCAAAGTTACTGTGTGGTGTGAATAAATAAATGTTTACTTCAGTTTTCAAAATGGCGAGCCTCAACCTCAGTTTGATTGATTTTTGGTTGACCTAGAGAGATCTCACTGTAGAAGTGACTACTTCACCGGTTATATCAACTTCTTAGATTTTGATACAGGGTGTATCGAAAAATCAAACATATCAAAATTTGCCATTGAATAACTAACTAAAACCCTATATGAGATTTTGCTTTCAAATTTCGTATAAAGGTATTTTAGCCATGCCTGTTTCGAAAAAATTGCCTAATAGTCATTTTTGAAATTTTGACCTTCAACTACAGAAGTGGGTCTTGAAAATATGAATATTTCAGAATTGACCACATTTTCGAATAGAGCTCGTTGAGTAACTAATCTAAATAACACCGAAAAAATTCAAGGGGTGTTTCCTTATGATATACTAGCAAAGAAAGTTCATATAAACATGTGTCCTAATTTTCTCCGTTTTGGAGATACAGAGGATGTTGAAGTTGGAAGTAATAGTTGTTTTTATTCATAACCCCCCTGTATAACCTTTCATGCTGCCAAAATTCAGTATGGATAGAGACTGAGGAAGCCCGAAAATTTCAAAATGATTCTAATTGGGGTTATTGAGTAATCTCAAAGGAAGTCTTGAAAACACCAACATTGAAATTTGGAGTCAAATCGAATGTTTATTGTTTCCTCAAAAACTAAGCTAGATACAAAAATCACACATGCACATGACATAAAAAAGTTGTTATTTCAATAGTTGAATCTAATAAAAATTTGAAACTCAGGAAAACCAGTGGTGTACAATGACATTCACCATGAATATCGATAAATTTACCCACTGTGACGCCACGGGTGTCAATCAAGTTCTAAAAAAGTTTTCTCTTACTTTTTGGGTATATATAATTCCAATAGAACTCACATACTTTGATTTGTTTCAATGAGTTATACTTCTATCGACGTGAAAAGCATAAATATGATATTATCAAGATGTACATGTTTCTATATATTTGTAAAATTAATGAAAAAACGATTTTTACTGAACACTTTCCGACACTGAGAATGCTCATGCTGTATATAAAGGTACGTCACAAATCTGAAGGTTTCACATGATACTGTGAGTATACATGGTTAAAATATGGTCTGGGAAACATGGACGTCGACAGGATGTGCCTGCAACGTTATGAAACTGACGTCCAATTTCACCCTTCTAAGTGACGTTCACTCAACGTCGAGATGAGGACGTGATTATCACGTCATAGTAAGTACGTCATAGTGACGTCATATACTGGTGTATGACGTCTTTGACGAAATATCACCAATTAGGGACCTCACATCAGTGACATGATCATTTGTCATCTGGATGCCTAGGTCTAGGTGTACAATAAACTATTATTCGCCTGTCAAATGCAACTGACTCTCATTGTTTCAAGCCACTTCTAAAGCTCCAATAACAAACCTTCTCGCTCTTTCAGCAGCCATTCTCCAGAGCCGCTGAGCCAAAACAGCCAGCACGATCAACCGAAGAAAACCGTCGTCACTCCCTCCCGCTCGTTGCGCTCCACCATCAACTACTCCTTCAGCCAGGTCCACGACCCTTTGACCCCCTCCAGGGCCGCCAGCCTGTACAGGGCGACCTTTCCCCTCAGAACCAGGCCAGAGTCCCTTAACCTCGACGCTTCCATGCTGAACTTCGAACCGTCGTCTAGAGTGTCGTCGTTCAGGAGGGAGACCAAAACGGCGCAGACGCTGAGCATCGTCATGGGCGGCTTCATAGCCTGCTGGCTGCCCTTCTTCATCTTCTATCTGTTGACGCCGTTCATTAACACTAACGAGGTGAACGGTCTCATCATGTCGTACTTGACTTGGCTGGGCTGGTTGAACTCGGCTATCAATCCGTTTATTTACGCGTTTTATAGCCCGGATTTCCGAATAGCTTTCTGGAGGTTGACGGTGAAGCATTTTTCGAAAAATAGGAGGGCGGATTTTGCGTCGCAGCATAAATAGAGGTAGCACAACCAATGAGCTGACTTTTTATAAAAATTGTAAGATAGTTGCGTTTTTTTGGGGTGTAGTACTTCGATCCGATATCGTATGACGGTTTGTAATCAACTTTCACATCGAACAACTAATGGAACAAAATAGCTCACTGTCGATATAATACAGATGATATAATGAAAAATATAATAATAATTGCATTTTTTTGTTGCATGACCAATTCATCGATATTCATACCATCAGTCGACATAAACACAATTGATCTCATACAATCTAAAGAACACTAAACATTTATGACTTACGCATTGCAAGAATTGAGTCTATTATTTGTGGATGAGCAAATTCCGAAATTTTGAAATGACGCCCATGATAGAAGGAAGAATATATATATATATATATACATAATAATAAATATTGCTTCTTGAGATGGAAGTTATGACATTTCATTTCTGAGTAATCGAATCATGCCACCTATTTTTCGATCAAATTGTCCTGAGCAAGTATTTTTTGAGATTGATTTTAAGCATTCTTGTATCATGTTTATTCTTCAACTCATTTGGTAATGAATTGTATAAAGTTATTCCATTGTTTTCAATGCAACTGCGGACGCCATAGCCAACTAAGAATAAGTAAACTCAAGAATACGAGATTTTCTGGAACTGAGACATGTCAATTCGCCAATATTTCGAAAACTGTTGAGTGTAGGCATAGCTTCATCTTCGATACCGGATCGAATGATAATATAAAATAAATTGGGGGGTTTCCATTTGAAAAAATTTACTTACAATATATTTTTCTTACCGGATCTATATATCATTTTGTGGTGAACTGTATAACTGTAATCGAATTGATATCTAAATTCTACTGAAATAGGTTATCTCCTACGAATAAATCGATATATGATCGGAAATAAATGATCATGCTTGTCCAGAAATAAAACAAAAATATTTTTCGGTCTGCAAACGCAATTTTCGGAAACGGTTAGACTTATTGGGTATAGAATATTATACATGAAACATGTTCAGAATCATGTGTGAGATCTAGAACCTCCGGTCCTATTAAAAATAACGAAGTTGGCTTCCACTTCCTGTACAACCGAAAGTGCCACAATCTTTAAAATATTTCAGCCGGGTAGCACATATCAACAATAGTGAACTTCTAAATTTTCAAAGGCCCACCTATGGTTTTCTATATACAGAGTGGGCCTTTGAAAACGAAACAGAGGCTCTGTAGGTCGCCAAAACCGGATTATCAAAAAAAACTGAAACAGGTCAACTACATTTTCGAGGGGGACATCTTTCTAAAATATTTTCAGCCCTGCGGCGTTGCCGCTTCTAAAGAAAAGAAGCAACAACTTTGTTATTTCAAATGGAACACCTTGTATTTTATTGCATTTTTAGGTTCTCCCCGAAGAGCTGATTCCATCAATGCATCACACTTAGGGTCTAGCTGTAATGGTTTCAGGGATATAAAGTGTTCAAAATCGAGATTTTTCAACTTTAACATTTTTTTGTGTCGAAACTATTCATTATTGGTCAAAACGGCTCTCATGTCTATCTCAACTTGTGATTTACTATCTACTGACATTTATTTGAAACAAATAGAGGGTGGTTCAAGATTCAAAATTCTGATCACCCTGTATCTGTTCCAATTGAATGTTAGTAGATAGTGAATCACAAGTTGAGATAGGGACATGGGAGTCGTTTTGACCAATAATGAATAGTTTCGACACAAAAAAATGTTAAAGTTGAAAAATCTCGATTTTGAACACTTTATATCCCTGAAACCATTACAGCTAGACCCCAAGTGTGATGCATTGATGAAATCAGCTCTCCGGGGAGAATCTAAAAATGCATTAAAATACAAGGTGTTCCATTTGAAATAACAAAGTTGTTGCTTCTTTTCGTTAGCAGCGGCAACGCCGCAGGGCTGAAAATATTGTAGTACGATGTCCCCCTCGAAAATGTAGTTGACGTATTTCAGATTTTTTTCATAATCCGGTTTTGGCGACCTACAGAGCCTCTGTTTCGTTTTCAAAGGCCCACTCTGTATATATATTAATCGATGCAAATGTTCAGAAGGAGATATCATTAAAAAACTTCCAATGCGGACAAGAAGTTTTGGCGAAAATATATCTCAAACTTTTGGAAACTTTTTTGTGGTCCGTTTTTGGCTTTTTGGGGAAGTGTATTTTAAACGGTAGCAGATAGTGGCTTATCTTTCAGGTGCTTTATTAGCTCTCTTAATAAGAATTCTCAGATCCATATTGACATTAACCTCTTCTGATTTTTGGTTGGGAATGGCTTCAAGAGAGGTTTTGGTAGTGAAAAAACACACAGTAGTAGAGTGAGCAAAATCAACGAGACGAGTTCTTTTGAAAATTGTATACTTGTGTCTTTTGTGGGTGTCTGACAACGGACGACAGTTCGTGATCAAATTTCACATCGAACAACTTTCATATCAAAATAACTAACAATCAATACTAATAATTGAACAAACAATTTCATAAAAGGTTAATTGATACTTCGACCATCGTTCCCTAGAAACACGATTAATCCATTACCTTACATTCCATAAAACACCTCCAATAAACAAGTATCTACAGTTGGTGATAAACGCACTGCACAAATTGAATTTCTCATGTGATCGACAAAATTCCAAAATGTTAACACGAGAGCACATAGCACATGTACGTCCAACGGATGTACAACATGGACATAATGGACGATCATTGAACGTCCGGTCATATGCGTACATTGACACGTCCATAAAACGTCCAAACCTCACTGGATTCAACATCCTATGAACGTACATTCAGGATGTTCAATGGACCGTACATCCATTAAGGATATCCAATGGACGTACATTCAGGATGTTCAAAGGACGTACATCAAAAGCAATCAAAACCACAATATGTAGCATATAGTCGAAATAGTAATTCACGTAACAATAAGTCCGGTAAATAGTATTACTTTTCCTGCCTAGGCAGCAAAGTGGTTACTTTGCTGATTGATATGTATCAGCAAAATTGATAATCCATAAATCGTTTATAATTTCCTTCATATTCCATCCGAGACTTCTCCGGCAACAAATTCAACTTTGTTTTGTCACCTCCCTTATTTCTGGAGGTTTAAGTACTGCCAGGTCGCTATCACTGTCCATTATATGATAATTTAAATATACCAATATTTTTTCGCACAACTGTGAGAAATTTCATGAATTGTCAAACAATAATTATTATGGACATTTCCATAGCAACCAGCTAGATTCCTAGCCTCGCTACGCTCGGCTATGAATTCAGCCTCGGCAGTCAATCTACTACTTTGCTGCCTAGTTAAACAAATAACTATATCCACTGTATTTGTATGGAAGCTTGTCTTCAAAAATAGTTTTTCATAGTTTGCATTTCTCGTTAATGCATATTTTGGTATCAATTTATGTTGATTCATTTGTTATGATTTTTATGGAAACAAAAGAATTCTGGCTGACAATGAAGAAGTGACTAGTCTGAGTCCGTCTATGATTCAAAATCAACATTTCATGCACCCCTTGAACGGGTACAAGAGGTAAATGTTAGTTTTTTACTAGTAATTCACGCGGAAATGTATACAGGTCAAGATTGTTTTGCTCAAAACTGAAGATTTGACGGTTCCTCAAGATAGATTATCAATTTATTGAGGTCGTAAACGAACATATCATTATATCATGGAATATTTTCATGCAGATATATATATTTTACTATTCCACTATTGATCTCGAGAACCAATCAGAATCGACCACTTTCACGGTTTCTTCTGTATTCTAGCGATTTTTTTTGTTTATTAAATTTTATCGGACTTGCTCTACCAATACAGAAGCCGAATCGACCCACACGTGACCAACAAACCTCGTTCATCAGCGATAAAATTTTGACATCGTGTCTGGTCAAGATTGCTTTGGATTCAAATCTGAGACAATAAACTATTAGTACCTACTTCATCTAATTTACTTATAATTCGCGTCAGTGAGACATTTTGTACGAAAGGCGAGACAATTTTATTTTGGCTGGACGTTTCATGTGTAATTTAAAAAGTTTGCATATTTGTTGACGGTCTCTGACACAACAATACTATAATTCAAATTCTTTTTTGAAGTAATCTTCTTCAATTAATCAAGTTATTGTGACTGATAAATTACCAGATGATGTGGCGCAACTGATAGGGTTGTTCCGCGAGGATACGAAGGTCGAAGGTTTCGAGTCCCTCGGCAACGATATCTTTTTTTTAATTATTTCATATCACATGAATTCAATTTTTTTTTCTGAATTGGATAGCAATTGTATACACTCTTTTGAGAGCAACCATCTCGCCAAGATAATGAAAAAAATACTGTTTGTTGAAATTGTACATTCCACTTTGTGAATAACTATAAGTAGGTAGTTAATTTCTGAAAAATTGAATTCTGTATTTCATTACTACTACCAAATTATGTTTCCTATTTCTTATATATATTGTCTCATTCAATCATGAAATAGTCATACGAATACAACTCGTGATAGTATTTTTCCTGTAAATATTCGTCGATTGACATACTCCAGCTTGCTCCTCTAATTTCGCTCATGACATTGATCCAAAACTACTCGCCTACGGCTCGTAGTTTTGATAACAATGTCATTCACGAAATTACTAGGCAACAAGCTGTCGTAACAATCACCGAATATTTCCGGCAAAATATCATCACTTGTGCTATTATATATGGAAAAAATCCATTTGTTAATAAATATTTTCTTCAGTCTACTCGCTGGTTTCTTCTTTCTGTTGAAAAAGGAAAATAGTATCAGTGTTCTGTAGTCGAACCATCCAATTCCAATTCAGAGCCATAAACAAACTATATACACTCTTCTGATACCACACAAGCCGTCATATCCAAACAAATCACAAACTTATACATATTTCATTCATGAATATCATGAAATACCTATTCCACATCACCTACAACACCATTATATAACCATTATCAAAGCACATAAATTATTCAGATATAAAATATACGTCATCATTTCGGATCTGTTTTCTACACCCCAAAAATTATAATTATTGAATATAAATCTATTGCGTTGTCGTACGATATATCGAGTGTTTCCCAAAAATGGCTCACCCCTATAACTTTTTAAATTCTACAGATAACAAAATGGAACTAGGTGTGTAAGTTGAATATGCATTTTTTGAAGTATTCAATTGTTTTCTGTCATATCAGGTTTTATGTACAACCTTCGTTCTATATTTGAAAAAAAAAATAA